AATGAGAATATGGGGGCTGGAGAGATGGCTCAGAGGTTAAGAGCACTGCCTGCTCTTCCAAAGGTCCTGAGTTCAATTCCCAGCAACCACATGGTGGCTCACAACCATCTGTATGGGGTCTGGTGCCCTCTTCTGGCCTGCAGGCATACACACAGACAGAATATTGTATACATAATAAATAAATAAATAAATATTTTAAAAAAATGAGAATATTTGAGTTGGGCTTTAAATGGATCACAGTCATAAATAAAAGAATACATCAGGGTAGCATGCAGAAAAAAAAATGTATTATTTCCTGAAACTGTAAGACAAAGAAAAAATCTGCTGGGCATGGTGGCACACACACTTAATCCAAGCTTTCAGGAGGCAGAGGCAGGAGGATCTCTGTGAGTTTGAAGTCTACTGTTGTGAAATATTAGTTAAAGATGTGTTACATCTGTTTATGCTGTGGAATATTTATTTAATGATGCAAAGATAAGTTGCATTCTTTTATGTTGTATTTGTTTAACTCTGAAGCTGTGTTACTTCACTTCACTTTACTTGAAGCTGTGTTAAAACACATGATTGATCTAATAAAAAGCAGAGCAGCTAATAACAAGGCAGGAGAAAGGACAGGTGGGTCTGGCAGGCACAGAGAATAGATAAGGGGAAAATCTGGGAAGAGGCGATTGAGGAACAAAAGAAAAAAAAAAGTAGAGGAGGCCATCAGGGGCCAGCCACCCAGCTACACAGCAAGCCACAAAGTAAGAAGTTAAGAAAGGTATATAGAAAGATAAAAGCCCAGAAGCAAAAGGTAGACAGGATAACTTTTTTGTTTGTTTTTCGAGACAGGGTTTCTCTGTAGCTTTGGTGCCTGTCCTGGAACTAGCTCTTGTAGACCAGGCTGGCCTCGAACTCCCAGATATCCGCCTGCCTCTGCCTCCCGAGTGCTGGGATTAAGGCGTGCACCACCTTCGCCCGGCTAGACAGGATAACTTAAGAAAAGCTGGCTAGAAATAAGTCAAGCTAAGGCCGAGCATCGTAAGACTCCTTCTACAAAGTGAGTTCCAGAACAGCCAGGGCTACATGAAGGTGGGGACAACAGCCTCCTCTTGATATTTTAAAGAGAAATATTTTCAAAAGATAGAGAGATGGAAAATATATTTGAAGAACTTAGAAAGCCAAGATTCACAATAGAAAGATGATCTTAAGAGAACAGGGCACAGTAATCTCCAATCTGATACCAACCCTGGCTGTTTAACACATGCCTAAAACACTGAAAATAGTCAAAGAGTACCAAATATTGCTGTGATGGTGATAACAAGGATGATGATAAAAGATACTTTAGGGGATGGAAGGATGTCTCAACTGTCAAGACCACTTGCTGCTGTTCCAGAGGACTTGGATTCAGTTCCTAACACCATATAGCAACTCACAACTATCAGCAACTCCAGCTCCAAGTGGATCTGATGCCCTCTTCTGGCTCTGGTGGTACTGCAGGCCCATGGTACACATACATGCATGTAGACAAAACATTCATAGACATAAAGTTTAAAACTGAAAAGAAAAGGGGGTGGTGGCACACACCTGTAATCCCAGCATGTGAGAGGCAGAGGCAGGCAGATTTCTGTGAGTTTGAGGCCATCCTGGTCCACAGAGCAAGTTCCAGGACAGTCAAGGCTATACAAAGAAACTAACAACAACAATAATAATAAACAATAATTAAAAAGGTACTTTGGTGCTTTGGGTACATACACTCAATTTAAGCTTTAATGCTACTTTTCTACTTTTAAGTTTTATTAATATTTATTTTCTGTTTGAACACACGTTGGGGGACACAGATGCCACAAAGTGCATGCTGAGGTTGGAGGACAGTTTGCCAAAGTTCTCTCCAGTCACATGGATCTCAGGATTGAATTCAGGTTGTCAGGCTAAGGAGCAAGAGCCTTCACCCTCTGAGACTCCTCACCAGCCCTGCTTTTATTCTGTTTAATAAAGACGACACATAGTCACACCTACCAAAAAATCCCTCCTTTACTTTTACTTTTTAAATGGGGGGGGGGGAGATGTTAAAAAAAAAGATACCCCAAATGCTCACATTGTGTAGGAGTCATTTGACATTCCTTAACTTTAATTAAAAATACTGACAGGCTTGAAATCATGCAGAAACATTGGCAACAGTCCAGAAGTGGAATTCAACTACATAGCCGCTGATGAGCCGCATGGGAATAGCAAAGCTGAAGTCATAACCCTGCCAGCATGCCCCACATGTACATAAGCAGGTCACAATTCCGTAAAGTCTATTTATTTATTTATTTAATGAAAGAGAGGGGGAGAGAGAGGGGGAGAGGGAGAGGGAGAGGGAGAGGGAGAGGGAGAGAGAGAGAGAGAGAGAGAGAGAGAGAGAGAGTGTTCAAGTGGCTGCATGAAGGTCAAAGAAAAACTCCTGGGTATGGTTCTCTCCTACCAATTTATAGGATCCAGGATTCAAACGCAGGTCGTCAGCCTGTGTACAAGAACCTCTATCTGCTGAGCAATCTCACTCATCTTACTTTTTTTTATCATTTATTGATTTATAGGGGTTTGGGGACAGAGGACAACTTATGAGTGCATCCTTATGAGTGCGATAGAACTCAGACAAGCGCCTTTAAGTTAAGCCCTCTTGCTGGCCCCAAAAGGTTTTATAAAAGAATTAAATAAGTGAATAAACTTATTCAATGCAATTTTCCAATTTATTAAAAGCTAAAGTTGAATTTGTTCTTTTCATGGAAATTGTTGTTTATATTGGGTTTTGTTTGTTTTGTTGTTATAGTTTTAGATTGTTGTTTTTCTTTTGAGATAAGGTTTCTCTGTGTAGCTTTGGCTGTCCTGGAACTCGCTCTGTAAACCATGCTGACCTCGAACTCACAGAGATCTGCCTGCTTCTGCCGAGTGCTGGGATTAAATGTGTGCACCATCATCACCCACCTGTCTGTTTATATTGTATACTGAATTAAAAATTTAGCGTATCTCTCTGGCTTTGTCCCCACTTACTCCCACAAGTCCCCTGCCTTCTGCACTCATATTTATGGCCATCCAAAACAACAAAAACAGCCAGTCGATGGTGGCACACGCCTTTAATCCCAGCACTCGGGAGGCAGAGGCAGGCAGATCTCTGTGAGTTCGAGACCAGCCTGGTCTACAGAGCTAGTTCCAGGACAGGCTCCAAAGCCACAGAGAAACCCTGTCTCGAAAAAAAAAAATAGTAAAAGATGACCTGGAGTCCATATTGTTTTTTTCTTCTATCCACTACAGAGTAACAGTTCTTGGGTGTGTTCTACTAGGTAAGGGAACTGCCACCCTCAGCTGTGTGTCATTATATCCGTAGGTCTCACATTCCTGAGTCCAGTGCCACCTGGGAAGTGTACTCTTCCGGAGTTTTGCATAGTCTCAGAGCTCTACAATAATAAACCTAATCTAATCTTAAGGCGTTTACAGCATCCCAAAACATAGTGTGTGTGTGTGTGTGTGTGTGTGTGTGTGTGTGCCAAATCCTTGAAAGAAGGCAAAGAGTTCAACAGGTACAACCACAAATAGAAATATAGTGCCAAATACATAAGAAACAAATCAACTAGCCTGTCCCCAAGTTTGATATTATCATACATTGCAGTTGGCATCAAGGAAAGTCTCTTATTCCTCACCTTCAGACCTATACTGTTTGTTGGCAAACTGAAAACCTGTCCCCAGACAGGCAGTGATAGTGCACACCTTTAATCCCAGCACTTGGAAAGCAGATCTCTGAGTTCGAGGCCAGTCTGGTCTTCAGAGTCAGTTCCAGACAGGCTCCAAAGCTACACAGAAACCCTGTTTCGAAAAGCCACAAACCAAAACAAAAACAAAAAACTACTGTCCCCCTCTCAGCCCTTTCAAATGTCCTAAGCTATGCTTTTATGCCTTCATTAGGGTCTTTTAGGCTACTTGCATGACCATCAAATGTTCCCCCAACTTCTCCAGAACCGAGGGAATCTTTATCCCTTAATATCCAACTCACATGATCTAAGCCCTCATTTCGTATGACTTCAAGGGAGCTGTCCACTCCTCAAGTATTTCTAAGAACCCTGGGAAATACTCCCTACAAAAATATACAAATATATCCTATTCTTTGTTGCAAACTTATTCGAGACTATTATTGCTTCTTAAAAGTTCTCTTCCTTCTGCATGAAAATTATTCATGAACTCATTTTCCCAGAGACAACCTCTTTACACATTTTTACAAGTGTAAAAATTTTGCAATAGGCACCCTCCCAAATCTCAAAGTATAGCTAACATCACGTTTGTAAATTTCACTGCTGAACTCGAGATAACACTGGGCTGGGGGGAGGGGGGGAGGAACGGAGACAAAACATTACTATTATTCTATTTTCCTAGAATTTCTGCTGAACTTTATCCAAGAATTCTCCTCCAGCCACGGTGCTGCAGAAGGGCAGATTCCTTCCTCAAGCCAAGAGACTTCTCCGCACTGCATTAAGCAACGCTTTCCCATTTGTGTGTGCGTGTGAGAGACTGTGCCTATTAGAATACACGGTGCAGTCGTGTATGTGGAGGTCAGAGGACAACCTCGGGGGCCAGTCCTCGGTCACTGTTCACCTTTTAACGGAAGGGGAAGCGGGGAGGGAAGACGAGAGCAAAGCGGTGGAGGAGAGTAAGAAGGGAAAGGGCGATGGGAAGAGGAAGGACACAGAGGAAGGAAGGGAGGCGGAAGTGAGAGCTTCAGTGTATTTTATCGCTTTGTTGGAGGTGTTCGTTTCATCAACTTGTTGAAATCCCATGGTCAAACAACAAACCACATCAATCAAAACAAGAAGAAAAGGAGAACTAAGACCAGAACAGCTGTAACATCGTGAAGAACCAGGATGTGGCACCGAGCCGAGCTCTGCTACTCCACCCAAAAGAGGCTGTCGCGAATCCACGACTGCGCAGGCGCCGCAGGCGCCGACGGTGCTGCCGAGGCGCCTGTAAAGTGTGCCCGGAAGTGACGCGAGTCGTGCTGGTCGCAAGCTAGGGAAGGGTTGAGCGACTCGCTGAGGCTAGCGGGCCCGGCGGGCGTCCTCGGCCACTATGAGCTGCACGATCGAGAAGATCATGACAGACGCCAAGACGCTGCTGGAGCGTCTGCGCGAACACGATGCGGCGGCCGAGTCCCTGGTGGACCAGTCGGCCGCGTTGCACCGGCGGGTGGCAGCGATGCGGGAGGCGGGCGCCGTGCTACCCGAGCAGGTCGGGCCGGGCCGGGCCGCTCCCTGGGGTGGGCGCGACAGGGCGCGGGAGGGTGGGGTCGCCGTCTGATTTATCCTGGTCCGGAGGGCAGGGCGGGCGTGAGAGCTTCCTGTGCGACGGGTGGGACTGCTGCCGCCTCAGCAGAGCAGTACCTGCCTGCGTTTGCAAAGGCTTAATCTGTCTGTCTGTCCAGTATCAAGAGGATGCACCCGACGTGAAGGACATGTCTAAATATAAACCTCACATTCTGCTGTCCCAAGAGAATACCCAGATTAGAGACTTACAACAGGAAAACAGAGGTTAGTCGGGCCTCTGTGTGTGCGTTTGTGTGCGATTTTTTTTCCCGTGTCTTTTAATACTTTGGACGTTCTTATACAAGGGCCTGAACAGTTCACAAGCGTGCCTATCTCATGTCTATATCTAGGGTCATCTGGTAACAGTAAAATCTATTCGATTATTCTTTTTTAAGTCTTCTGATGACTTTGAAAGAGTTGTTTAGTAGAGTTGAGTTGTTAGATTCTAGGAGCGGGGTACATACCCGATGAAGGCTTACATAACTAAAGTACAGAGTCTTAAATGTAATATTTCAATATTAATTAGAGTGAACACTAAAGTTAAGATTGGGTTTTTTTTTCTTTTTTTGGTTTGGTGTTTTGTTTTGTTTTCTGTTCCTGTGCAAGACAGAAGGCTAGAACTTTGTCTCCAAAATATCCATTCTTAGGGTTGGTAGTGACAACAGTATGGCAGTTATCTTACGGAGACCTTTTTACATCTTCCATCCCACTATATTCCCCTGGCATCATTTTGAAGTCGACAACCCGAGAGTATTTTCACAACGCAATTAAGAAACAGGTTCACAGGTGCCAGCAAGATGGCCCAGCAGGTCATGGCCCCAACCAGGAGGCCTGAAGAGCCAGGCCTGAGGACCCAGGTGGTGTAAGGAGAGAATCGGCTCCTGGAGGTTGTTCTCTGACTTCACATCTACACTGTGGTGTTGGCACTCAAATCAACAAAGTGTAATCATTTTTATAATAGGCTTGTTTTGCTTCTGAATCTTAAGCAAGTAAATTAAAAACCTGAATTCAAATCCGTGTTTTGTGATTACGTATCCCATGTTACTGCTACAAAACTCTACCACCCAGAGCGTTTTTCAGGTGACGTCACCCACTTCTGTGGGCTTGCATACCGATTCCCCAACTTTGCAGTCACCGGATCCCGTGGAGTCTCAGCAAGCCCCAACTATTAGGAGGTTTGCCTTGAGATCTGCTATACACGTCATTGCCCAGATGTTTGCTTTTTTTGTTAGAGCTGTGGGTTTCCTTGGAGGAACACCAGGATGCTTTGGAACTCATCATGAGCAAGTACCGGAAACAGATGTTGCAGTTAATGGTGGCTAAAAAAGCAGTGGACACCAAACCGGTTCTGAGAGCTCACCAGTCTCACTCTGCAGTAAGAACACACTGATAAATAAATTCCGAATAAAACAAACCGAAACCTTGAGGTTGTTGTTTTGTTTGCAGAAAAGCGTGTTCCTCTTTCGTGGGTTTCATAGTCACTCTGTCTGCCGGAGGCTTTGTGAAGATAGGAATGAAAGGGGATCAGGAGCCCCACATCCTTTTGAGCGGCATCACCTTCCGCACCACGATCTTTTTCAGCCTGAGACAGGAAAGGTTAGAGTTCTAGGCCAACCTGGGCTACAGAGCAGGCTAGATAGCAAGCATGATAAGAGCTAGCATTGAAGGCATTCAGTGACTAGTTGGCTGATTATTACCTGTATATTCTACTAAGCCCTAAGTTTGTAGTTATGGGGGCATGAGTTCAGTTTCATCCATATCTTCCACATAGCCAGCGCTCACTAACTTGATTAAATTACTCACGATACGTTACTAGGAGTGTGGAGGATCTAGTTTGTTTTATGGCCGTTCCTATATTTTAATTACTATTTAATTTGGAAACCCGGTAGCTATTTTTCGGTTTGTAGGGTGCTTCCTTGTTACCTATTTGCATGAGTTATGCATTCAAATCTCCAGTTCTGACATCGGAAGCTGCTGCTAACTGTAGTGGAAAAGGCCGTGTGTCCCACCTTCCTTTCCATCGGGTGCACTTCACTGACAAGTCTTAGGAAACTGGGATGTTTAAATAGTTGAATGTTTTTAATCTCCAAATGTTTGGGTTATTGTCTCTTTTGTTTTGTTTTGTTTTTGTTTTTCTTGAGTACAAGCTGGCATTTTAACTCCTAATCCTCCCTCCTCAGTCTCCCAAGGACTAGGACTACAGATGCGTGGCACATGGATAGCAACTGCTCTTTGAAAGATGGAAATTATTTGAAATACCACAGATTAATATTATTATGACTCAAAGTATAGTGTAATTGAAGTGTAACTAATATAACAGCTACTAAACGAACTCCTCCCCGTTTATTTCTGCAAGGTTTTTAATAGACGTAAAATTCATAATGCACATGCTTTTTGTGGTCTTCATAACGAAAACCTATTTTTCTTTTCCTCTTGTTTCCTCAGGAAATTGAAAGTCAGATTGATCGAATCTGTGAAATGGGGGAAGTGATGAGGAAAGCAGTTCAGGTGGATGATAACCAGTTTTGTAAGCTTCAGGAGAAACTAGCACAACTAGAGGTAAGGTGGTTGCTGTGTTAAGTTCACCCTTCTTTTTCTCTTTTATTTATTTTGTTGATTTACCATTTTTTACACAGTTCTTATAGGTCTCACATATGTCATCACTATACTATCACTACAGTGTATTAATATAATCCTTTTTACAAGAATGTCTCAAGCCAGGCAGTGGTGGCACACGCCTTTAATTTAACCCCAGCACTCAGGATACAGAGGCAGGCAGATCTTTTGTGAGTTTGAGGCCAGCCTGGTCTACAAGGGCTAGTTGCAGGACAGGCTCCAAAGCCACACAGAGAAACCCTGTCTCAGAAAAAAAAAAAAAAAAAGAATGTCTCAAAAAAGAGGAAGGGAGCTGTCTCAGAATGTGGCCTGGTCTGGCCTAAAATGCAAAATTTTCCTGCATCAGTCTCTGTATTGCCTCAGTAGTATTATGCTAGCAATAATACTAACAGTGTTGATGTTCTCTGTGTCCTAATGATTTAAAATTACAATTTCTGCTTTATACCCTTTTCTGGAAAATAAAAAAGTGGAGTCAACAGCAATCAATGGAAATGTCAGTTGTGGTGTTTGAGACAGAGCTCAGATGGTAAAACCCTCAGGTTTGACTGCTTATTTCAAGTGCTGTTGTGGGACCTTTAAGAAATTTTGAATGGAAAAAGAGAAGGTCCCTGTCCAAACCTAGTGAAGGAAGGACAGAGCAGGACTGGTGTCTGAATGTTACAGGAGATTCAGAAGACCGAGGCTGAAGAGATAGCTCAGCACTCAAGAGCACTCACTGCTCTTGCAGAGGACCCAGTTCCCAGCAGCCAATGGTGGTTCACAACCATCCAAAACTCCAGTTCCAGGGATCTGATGCCCTCTTCTGACACTCAGATGGTGCACATACATAGGTGCAAGCAAAACACACATACACGTAGGTAACCCTGACTCCAGAGTCCTGAGAGAAGCAGTTTATGTGATGGAGGGTTTGTTGATCATGTTCTTCAACCTTTTGGTGAAACTAGAAACGTTGTAGTTTGTCAGTTTGTCCTGCAAAGAGCTGGACATGATGGCACACACCTGTAATTCTAGCACTTAGGAGGTAGAAACAGAAGGATCATCCAAGTCAGCCTCCATGACATCAGACCCTATCTCAAAATAGAAGAGAATTGTCTGCAGAGATGGTAAAGATGGAGTGTAAGGTGGCCTATCCAGATAGAAATTAAAGGAAGTGATAGGTGTCAAAAAGTACTAGCTGAATTATGGAGTTAGGAGCACTTGTTGCTCTTACAGAGGCCCTGGGTTCAATTCCGAGCACCCACATGGTGACTCACAACTTATGTAACCCTAGACCCAGGGTATCCAGTGTCCTCTTCTGACTTTCTAGGGTATTTACGTGGTACACAGACATACATGCAGGCAAACATCCATATATATATATATATATAAATTTAAAAAGAAAAGCTGTTTTTGGTCTTTCAAGACAGGGTTTCTCAGTGTAATCTTGGCTGTCCTGAAACTCACTCTGGAGACCAGACTAGCCTCAAACTCCCAGAGATCCACCTCCCGAGTACTGGGATTAAAGGCATGCACCACCATTGCCCAGAAAAAAAAAAAAAGTTGTTTAAGATCTAGGTCTGGTGGTGCATGCCTCTAATCTCAGTACTCAGAAGGCAGAGACAAGTAGTTAATCTATGAGTTTAAGGCCAGCCCAATCTACATATCAAATTCTAGGCCAGCAAAGTCCATTTAGTGAGAATCTCTCAAAAACATTTTTTTTAATCATTTAAAACTTTAAAAATATTTTTCTTCCTTCTGGCCCTAAATAATATGTTCTGATACAGTTTAGCATTTAAAATACAGAAACTATCTTTTTTCCCCAGCTTGAAAATAAGGAACTTCGAGAATTATTGTCCATCAGCAGTGAGTCTCTTCAGGTCGGAAAGGAAAGTTTTGTGGATCCTGCTTCTCAGCCCATCAAATAACTGAACTTCTGAACGCAGGCTGCAGATGGTCCGTCCAGGAGAGAAGTGACGACCTCTCCGTAGGACGTGTCTCTTCAAGAGTCCTGCCACAGACTTGACTTAGTGTTGATTAGAGGTTTGAGATGGCAGTCCAAATTTGCCACCTGCTAGTCATTGTCCACAGAACAGTTTGGGGTATATTAGTGAACACAGAGGTGTCTCCCATTCCTTTCTCAGAGACTACATTTAGTTTTGACTCTGGGACCTGAATTTATATAAACTGTTGTTTTCAGTTCATGTTTGTTTTCACATCTCTGAAATCTGAACATTTTATTATAAGCCAGTGATTTTATTTTATATAGGATTATAAAATTGACTTTTAAGAGATCGAATTTTTTAAAAGTACTTGTTTGGCATAAACCTGATTTTATTTCCTTTTTCCACTTGCAAAAGTGACATGATTCCCAGAAGCAGACTGGCAGCCCCTCTGAGTTGAGCCCCACTCATCTGTGGAGTTTGGATTCTCTCTGGTGCTAGGAGCTGGCACCTCGTGGTCGGGTGTCTTTACTCTTAATTTGAGAGAATCTATTCCTAATCCCTGGGAAGTATACTTGAAATCAAGTCATCTGGGTTTGGGTTGTTTCTCCTCCTCCCCCAGGATCACACAGTCATTCAGAAAGTGCTGAGGAACTTGGACCTGCCCCGTCAGGTGCAGTCCCATGTGAGCACTTGATTTAAATGCCAAAAGTAGTTTTTATTTATTTGATCAAGTAATCAGTTTCCCATCTTGTTTGACTAAGGTAGCTTGCCGGCTCTGAAGAACACACCAGAGTTTGCAGGCACTGTGCCCACTGTTGAATTGATAGGCTGCCGCCGTGAAGAACGGCCCTGCTTGGCTGGCTCACGCTGGCGAGTGTGCTCTGCTGTCTTAGATGTGTTTGCTTTTTACACGGAAGCACTTTTATCACCGACAGAAAGTTACTACATTCCCGGTGCCACACAGGCAGTTGAGAACAGCACTAAGATCTGGCTGCATAGGGAGGAGGCAGAAATCCTTAAATAAATTAATTAATTAAAAAAAAAAAGATCTGGCTGCATGGAGGCTCTACTAGTTCCCTTGTCGGCCTTTCCCTGTCCTGGTTTGCTCTAATTTATACATAATTTCTTCTATGCTATTTGTTTGCCCAGAGTGGCTGAAAAACCTTAACCTTGTCAATATTTGTCACAACTCAGCCCCATACCACATGAGAAAGGTGGTATTAAAAAAGATCTAGTGTTTTATATGTCATAAAGCTTCTTTTGTATCCAGAATGTTTTGAGTCCCTCCGATCCCATTAGTACCTATTGACATAGAGCTGTGGACAGCTCCAGCTGTTGGCCTTGCAGTGTCCCGTAAGTGCCCAAAGTGTGCTCCACAAGCCCATCAGGAGCAGGTATTCTCTACACGGGACAGCTGTCAGTCAGGTTCCATTGAAAAAGGTAGTGTCAGCAGAGTCTGCTTCAGCAGTGTATCTGCCTTGTGTTTCCTCTGTACATCTTAGACACCAGAAGAATCTCTTCCTTTTAGCCCTGGGGATATACTGAGCTTTCAGTGCCCTACGCCATACACAATCTGCGTGGTGTTAATGCTGTGAAGAGAATATAGAGCTAGTGTGTTGAATGGAGAAGGAATGTTCTTCACTGTGTGTGAAGATGGTAATGTCCCTTGCAGTGGATGGAAGAATTTAGTGTATGAAATTATCTTTGCTAATAAACAAGTCTTTTGGGAAGATTTGCTAATTTTACTGAGTAATGAGTCTAACTAAGAAGTATAGAGGGCCAGGCAGTGAAGGCGCACACCTTTAATCCCAGCACTTGGGAAGCAGAGGCAGGTGGATTTCTGTGAGTTCAAGGCAAGCCTGGTTTACAAGAGTTAGTTCCAAGACAGCCAGGGCTGTTTCACAGAAAAGCCCTGTCTCTAAAAAAAAAAAAAAGAAAAGAAAAGACAAAACAAACAAAAAAGAAGTGTAGAGGGACCGGGCAGTTGTGCACACCTTTAATCCCAGCACTCAGAAGGATCTCTTGAGTTCAAGGCCAGCCTGGGCTACAGAGCAAGTTCCAGATCAGATCTCTGTACAGAGAAACCCTGTCTTAAGGGGGGGGGGGGAGTGTAGATAGGTCTTTTTCACATATACAACAACCTTGTCATAGATTTCATAAGCAATTTGCAGTTAGCACAATATAGTCTCAGTATAACCCTGCTAATAACATATTAGTAAGGTATTCATTGCAGAAGTACCATATGCATAATTTATACTGAAATCTAGTTCCATGTTCCTTAAAATGTTGTTCACTCACCTACTGAAACAAATTTATGGATAGAGTCTGGAATTTACATTTTAATAATCATCCCAGAAGATGACAGTACTAGTTGAAGAATATGTCTGTTAGAGCCAGCGAGATGACTCAGCAGGAATGGGCGCCTGACACAAGGCCTAATGGCCTGAGTTCCATCCCCAGAACCCAGACGGTGGAAGGGGAAAACTGACTCCTGCAAGTTATCCTCTGACCTCCCACACACACAACAAACAAATTAAGTTCCTGGTCTGTGCAAGGCCTAGACTTCACTGGGAGTTACATGAGTTGGGGGAAACAGACTGAGACTTTGAAAAGCATGGCAGAGGGCGTCGAGCAAGTATGCACGGAGTGGAGATGTCACGGCTGCTGTGCCTGCCTGCCGTTCACAGAGCACTTGACACTCAGCACCAGGGAAACTAGGCTTGGTGCCACATGCTTCCAATCCCAGAACTAGAGACAAAGACAGGAAAATCAGGAATCTACAGTCATTCTTTGCTACATAGCAAGTTCAAAACCAGCCTGGGCTACGAGAGACTCTCAAAATACAAAACAAAATGTTGTGCATATAGTTATGATGAATCTGATATAAGTATGTGTAGGACACAGGAAGGACTGTTATACTTGAGAATCCAGCAGTTGACAGAGGGGTGGCTGGGAGGAGACCTAGAAAACAGCTGCAGAAGGGAAGTCTAGATAGTTCTGCAATGCTTATACCTTCTGCTGAGAGCTTTCCTGCATCAGATACTGACACAGAATCTCCATTTCAACTCTACAGTTCCTCACACACTAGAAGGTTCTTATTTGTCCAAAGTAGAGCCAAGATTCACACCTAGGCACTCTGCGGTACATTTCTTTTTTTTTTTTTTGGTTTTTCGAGACAGGGTTTCTCTGTGGTTTTGGAGCCTGTCCTGGAACTAGCTCTTGTAGACCAGGCTGGTCTCGAACTCACAGAGATCCGCCTGCCTCTGCCTCCCGAGTGCTGGGATTAAAGGCGTGCACCACCACCGCCCGGCTGCGGTACATTTCTTAAGTGCGAAGTTAAGGTGCCTTTAAATGCCAAATATTTTGTGGAGCTCACAGGTTTTGATCTGTTCTTATTAAACAAGGGCAAGAGAAACATCATAGCCTGTATACTGGGAAATACCATGAATTCAATTTAGTTGAATCAACAAATAGGAATGTATTGTTGTTGCGTGTTTCCTAGAATGCTGTGCTTATGAATGTTCTTACTGTGGAGGGAAGTGGGTGCATTCCTCTACAGGGTGTCATCTTGCCATGGTGTGTTGTGTGATATTTTATTCTTTTGCCTCTTTGAGGGGTCCACCACCGAGCTCCCAAATAAATCACACGCGGAGGCTTATTCTTACTTATGAATGCCTGGCCTTAGCTTGGCTTGTTTCTTGCCAGCTTTTCTGAACTGAAATTATTCTGACTACCTTTCGCTTCTGGGTTTTTATCTTTCTCTATTTTTGTACACCTTTCTTTACTTCTTTCTCCATGGCTTGCTGTATTGCTGGGTGGCTGGCCCCTGGCGTCCTCCTCTCCTTGTTCTCTTGCTCCTTGTTCTCCTTCCTCTCAGATTTCTCCTTCTATGTACAGTCTACTCAGATTTATTTTCTCTGCCTTCCAGCCCTGCCTATCCTTGCTCCTGCCTTGCTATTGGCTGTTCATCTCTTTATTAGGACCATCAGGTGTTTTAGACAGGCACAGTAACACGGCTTCATAGAGTTAAACAAATGCAGTGTAAACAAAAGTCACACACCTGAAAGTAATAATCCCCAACAATGGTGTCTCCCCAGATTATCTGATAAAACAGGTTTTTTCCCTGATAGACTCCCGAGTTTTTACTGATAAAAATAATAATTAGATAAATGCTTCACCTGGCATCCAATGCGTGGCATTAGATCACATGGAAACAAAGCTGTACCACCTCCACCCACCCCCACCTCCACCGCAGACACTGCTTGGGTGGCTTCTCCCACCCTCCCTCCAAGCGAGGGAGGAGCGAGTTTCTCCCACTGAGTCTTCCTGCAGCAGTCTCAGGCTGTCGCGGCCACCTGCTGCCAGCCACACCTGCTCACATGACTTGGGCTTCTGTTGCTGCCACCACTGCACTCCCTCCGCCAACAGCTACAGCTAGCAGCTGCAGGTGCCCTCAGGCTGCAAGGAAGCAGCCCATTGCGACCCAGGCACCCAAACTAGCCTGGCTGACTGGTCACCTCCATCCCCGCCTCCCCACACAGCTCTGCCATTGATATCATCACTGCTGTGGACAGACTAAAAACGCATACGCTCTGGTGAGGCACCTGGGAATTCCTAAGGGGAGAATTAGGTTTTATTTAAAACAAAAACCAAAACAACAAAAGCTTTCCCACATTATGAATGGGAAATAGCACTCTGGAGGCAGAGGCAGGTGAATCTCTGTGAGTTCGAGGCCAGCCTGGTCTACAAGAGCTAGTTCCAGCCAGGCGGTAGTGGCGCACGCCTTTAATCCCAGCACTCGGGAGGCAGAGGCAGGCGGATCTCTGTGAGTTCTAGACCAGCCTGGTCTACAGAGCTAGTTCCAGGACAGGCTCCAAAGCCGCAGAGAAACCCTGTCTCGAAAAAACCAAAAAAAAAAAAAAAAAAAAGAGCTAGTTCCAGGACAGGCTCCAAAGCTACAGAGAAATACTGTCTCAAAGAGAGAGAGAGAGAGAGAGAGAGAGAGAGAGAGAGAGAGAGAGAGAGAATGGAAATATTACAATGTATGGAGTTAGGACTCTGTAGGGTTCCACAATGAATGGTTTAAAACTAAAAACAAAATAAATGAATACCGACATATCTAGAATTGACATGTCGATTATAATTATTATCAGTTTGGTAATTCATGTGTTATCCTTTAAAAAGTGGTTTGATGGGCCGGGCGATGGTGGTGCACACCTTTAATCCCAGCACTCGGGAGGCAGAGGCAGGTGGATCTCTGTGAGTTCGAGACCAGCCTGGTCTACAGAGCTAGTTCCAGGACAGGCTCCAAAACCACAGAGAAACCCTGTCTTGAAAAACAAAAAAAACCCAAAACAAACAAACAAAAAAGTGGTTTGATGTCCATGCCAAATATAAAAAGTTGACTGATAAGATACAAGCCTTAGAAAAACATACCAGTGAAACAAACAAAAAATTTGCCAGGTGTGGTGGCATATGCCTTTAATCTCAGCACTCGAAAGGCAGAGGCAGGCAAATCTCTGTGAATTCAAGGCCAGCCTGGTCTATAAAGCAATCTCCAGGACAGATAGGGCTGTTACATAGAGAAACCATGTCTTGAAAAAAAAAATATTCACACACAGACAGAGGAATTTAGATCAGAACCTACCACAGCATATGAGTGGCTCACGGTAATTAGAAAAGGAACTTTAGTTTATCAGTTACCATACAAGAATGACCACCAGTTATGGCCATCATGGGAATACCCATATAAATTAAGACTGACAATTCTCCAATGTATATCTCCAGTAATGAAACAGTATTTTGCATATTACAACATAAAGCATATTACAGGTATACCACACAATCCTATAGAACAAGTTATAGAAAGATTTAACTGCACTTTAAAGATATGCTTAATAAACAAAAGGGGTAATAAAGACCCCCTGATAGATTACACAAAGCTTTATTAACTTTATTTTTTAAATGCTAATGAGAAAGAAATGACAGCTGGGGAGAGAAATTGAATGAAAAAAAACTGCTGAAGTAAATATGCATGTATACTTTAAAGATCTGTTGACCTCAGAATGAAAATCAGGATATGTGTTACATTGGGGAAGAGGTTTTGCTTTTGTTTCCACAGGAGAAAAAAAATCTATGGATACCATTAAAATTGATAAAGATTAGTATAAACAGGAAAGACCTCTTTATTAGAAGAGGTTATAGTTTATCCAACAGCATGGCCATTCAATCTAAAATAACTTATAAGACTAGCAAGTTAGCCAGGTGGTGGTGGCACACGCCTTTAATTCCAGCACTGGGGGGGGGGGGGATGGCAGGTGGATCTCTGTGGGTTCGAGGCCAGCTTGGTCTACAAGAGCTAGTTCCAGGCCAGGCTCTAAAACTACAGCAAAACCCTGTCTTGGAAAAAAAAAAAAAAAGACTAGCAAATGTCTTTTATTTGATCAGATATAATTTGACAAAAATGGAAACTTCCCAAAGTTAGGGTTGGGATAGGGTTTTGTTTTTATCTTTCCAGGAGAATGAAGGCATCAACCTAAGGAATCTGAAGCCCACTGGACAAATGAGACATCTGAAGAAAAAGGACGATTCATTCAGAGAAAATGTCCCAAGAAAAATGAGTAAATTGGTCTATTGCTATATCACACTTCCAACAGGATAAAATGTGGGAACATCCCCATGGGCTACACGGCCGCGCTCTGGAGTGCTAGCACACAGCCGTAATCCA